CCTCTCCCTCTCTCCCTTTCTTTTTCTTTTCTTTCTCTCTCTCTCTCTCTCTCTCTCTCTCTCTCTCTCTCTCTCCTGTATGTTTTCTGATTTCCTTTTCATTCTCCCTGAGACTGAGGTGCTTTCATCTGTAAATGTGCCAGTCTGATAAAATAGCATTGTGTGTTGCCCATTCCTTGGACACCAGAGGAATTCTCTACTTCCAAACCAACCTTTAGGCTTGTGTGTGTGAGAGGTTATTTGGGGAAGAACAAGGGTTGTCGACCAAATGGAATCATTTTAAGAGTATCAAGGGCAGTAGTGGTTATTGTGTGTTTGAGATTGGCAGACAAAGTCGCATTACCCAGAGGAAAAAAAATTACTCTCCAAGTTAGCATTCCTACCAATGGATAACTGTTATCCACAAAGGAAACATCTGATGTTTCCATACTTCTTTTATTAAGAAGACTTATATTTTATATAAGTGTTAGTGCTATCAAGATTGCGCATTGCCAACTGGTCTGTTTTCAAGGTCTAAGTTTAGCCTATAGTCAGTTTTAATAAATATATTACGTAAAGAAATAAAAACCCATCTTTCTCAAACCAGAAGTCACGGATTTAAAAAAAACAATCCAACTTCCTTTGATCTTTATAATCTGCCTCATAAAGCGGTTTTTGATGTTTAATAGTCATATCAATTAATCCTCAGCCCTTCCCTCACAAGCAATCTGTTTCCATTTGTTCAACTGTGTGTTACTTTGACTTGCTAACAGCACTTCCTGTAAGTGAAGCTCTAAAGCAGAGTCAGTTTCTTGTCATTTGTTCTTGAGAATATGGAGCCTTCCCCTCCATCTCCCTGGACCCCGTACAAATCAGAGTGGGTCGACAACTCTTACCCTCCTGTGGATCAGGGACGTAAAAGGGTGAAATGTGAAACTTTCTGAACAAAGTGAGTCTGCGTGATTGCCTTCGTCTGTCGCTGGCCCCTTGAGCCTTCCTCCCTGTGCTGAAGATGCAGATAGCGTTTGGTGAGGCCCCGTTTCCTCGATCAGAGGAGGCCGTCTAATCGTACAAGTGGCAAGGAAGCTCTTTGAGTTCTCCTTATTTTGATATTTAAAAAAATGTTCTCCAGCGGGTAGGGCATTTTAAAGGCCTTGCACGTGGCCAACCCAGGTTCGATTCCCAGCATCCCATCTGGTCCCCTGAGCATCTGGTCCCCCCGGGTGTAATTCCTGACTGCAGAGCCAGGAGTAACCCCTGTGCATCACCAGGTGTGACCCAAAAAGCACACACACACACACACACACACACACACACAAAATGTTCTCGAGGAGGGTGTTTGAGGACTTACTCCTGGCTCTGTGCTCAGGAATCACTCCTGGCTTTGTGTTTAGGTCTACCATTTGGAGTTCCCGGGCTTGTATTGGGACTGGCCTTGTGCCAGGCAAGCCCCTTAACCCATATGCTCTCTTTTTTCCCTCTGGGGTCTCTTCAGTAGGGACACCAATCCCATTCCTGGTCATTCTTTCTCATGGCCTACTCCTCTCCTAGTTTTCCCACTTAATTGGTATGATGCAGTGAATTCGGATCCAATGTATGGGCTGGAGCATACATTGATAGCGTAGTGGGTAGGGCGTTTGCCTTGCACGCGGGCAGCCCAGCCAAACCGAGTTTGATTCCTCCGCCCCTTTCGGAGAGCCCGGCAAGCTACCAAGAGTATCTCGCCCTCATGGCAAAGTCTGGCAAGCTCCCCATGGCGTCTTCAATATGCCAAACACAGTCACAACAACTCTCACAATGGAAATGTTACTGGGCCCGCTCGAGCAAATCGATGAACAACAGGAAGACAGTGCTACAGTATGATTATAGATTGGGAGCGGGAGGTGGGGTCCTCACAACTGTTCTGTCCGTAGCAGCTGTGTAAGAAAATGCTTTAAGGGTTCAGGCTTTGTGTTCAAAGATACTGAGTTCAAATCTTGCCTCTTACTGCTGACTAGCTGTGACCTTATTGAGGCTGGCTGCCTTGAGCCGCTACTGCAGAGTTCTGCATTTTTGTCCTTTCGTTTCTCCTTGCATTGCCATGAATACTGCACTTTTGCAGAAGGATTCTGCATTGCTTTCCGCAGAACCCCCACTCTGACCTTCTAGTCGCTGCAGTCTCCCTCACCTGGTCTCTGCTGCACCAGCCAGTGAGACAGTAGCCGTACGCTCACATCTGCCCACATCTCAGCCATTCAGCCAATGTCACCCCCTTGTCATCGTGATGGGCTTATTCTCCCTTCTGGTTTATATATTCCTGCGTTTGTTTGGCTCTCTGATGCCCTCAGATGGGTTTTGTTTGTTCATATGCACTCTAAGTTTGTTCTTCAGGGAGAGATTGCTCCCGTGTGATTGGTCCAAATGGAATTACGCCTCCAGTACAGAATGGCGTCCAGATGATTTTAGAAGTCAGCCCAATCAGTCATCGGGCCAGAAAAGCAATTGCTGTGAGGGCTGGGAGCACAGGAGGTACAAAGGGAGGCACGATCTGAACAGAGGATGCTCAGAAAAGCCTTAGACTGCATCATAAACGGTGTTTGGAAGCTCTCCAAGGGGAAGAACTTGCTAGAACATTGTGTTTTTCCTGACGTGAATCAGATTCCATTAGTGGTTAGTAAAATTAATTTAGCAATTGGCCTCTGCAAAATTGGTTTTGCTGCTAACCTAACCCCACACCGTTAGTAGGAAGTAGAATCGATGCTTCTTGCTTTGCATTTTGTTCCTTACTCCCCTAGGGGACTTGGGCGTAGGCCCCCCACAAGCGGGGCCCTAGCACGCTGCCCATGTGGCTGACCCGGCTTTGATTCCTCTGCCCCTCTCGGAGAACCCAGCAAGCTACCGAGAGTTTCTTGCCCTCACAGCAAAGCCTGGCAAGCTACCCATGATGTATTCGACATGCCAAACACAGTAACAACAAAATCTCACGATGGAGATGTTACTGGGCCTGCTTGAGAATCAGTGAACAAAGGGAGGACAGTGCTACAGTGCTACTCCTCGAGGGAGACTTGTCTGTAGAGCCAGGACTTGAATCAGTCACCCGAGTGACCTTCATTGTGTAGAAAACTCCCCTTTTTTTGTTTTGTTTTGTTTTGTTTTGCTTGCTGGATCACACCTGGTGATGCTCAGGGGTTCCTCCTGGCTCTGCCCTCAGGAATCATTCCTGGTGGTGCTCAGGGGACCCTATGGGATGCCAGAATCGAATTCTGACCAGCCACGTGGAAGGCAACCACCCTCCCCGTTGTGCTGTCGCTCCGGCCCCTGGGAACTTCTTTTTTCACACAGGAAAGAAGATAAATAGCATAGTTCTTAATAAATGTAAAATACATTTAAGTAAAGAGACTTAACATTTGTCTAGACATATTGATCGTTGGCAAGTCAGAGTTCCAGAGGCCAACTTAAACATCTTTCCTGGGGAGGGAGAGCCTTTAGGATATTTTTATTACTTGTGTAACATGCTTTTAGTGACAAGTCTAAGAGTTCCTGTTCACAGGAAAGGAAGGGATGGAGCATGATTGGGAATGCTCCAAATAGGGCAGGATTAGAACCGTTTCCCATTTCTTCCCCTTTTGTTCCTTCTCTGTTCTTCCTGTTACAAGCGTTTTTTTCCTGTAGTGTGTGTCTGTGAGCACACACACACACACACACACACACACACACACACACACACTCTTGAGGTCCAGAGATATTCCCGGCCCCCATACACCTCCGCCAGCACTGCCAGGTGGAGCTGGTGTCCCTGACGCACTGGGCCCTGAGTGTCCCAGCCGCGGCCCAGGAGCTGATAGCCAGGCCCGCATCCATTACTAGGCAAGGATCTCACCTCTCTGTGTAACCCTCTAGACAAAGAGCTACGCTTCAGAACTCCCCCCCAATTCCCAAGCCCTTTGTTCTCGCCTCCCACGGTCTCATTTGCCTGACCAGAATGGTCTTTCCAATGGAACTTAGGGGTTGGAGCTCTAGGACAGCGGGGAGGGCGTTGACCTGGCACGCGGCCGACCGGAGTTCGATCCTGACATCCCATAGGGTCCACCCGGCACCGCCAGGCCAGGAGTGATCCCTGAGTGCAGAGCCATGAGGAACCCCTGAGCATTGCCGGGTGGGACCCAAAAGAAAAAAATTGAACTTAGGTGCTCTGAGGGTCTTTTCATTACTAAATTCGAAAGAAGTCCCATGGATGATACTGTCCATGTAGTACCACTTGTATGTAAACTTCATGACTTCATCTTTTCTAACAGCTACATAGTACTCCATTGTGTAGATGAGTCAGAAAGAGAGGGACAGACATAGAAAGATTGCATTCATCTGGGGAACATAAAGTAACAAAATAGGAGACTAACACCCAAGAATAGCCGAGATAAGTACCAGGAGGTTCATTCCATGGCTTGGAGGCCAGCTGTACTCGCTAGGGGAAAAGGCAGCTCAGATAGAGAAGGGAGCACCAAGTAAAGGGTGTTGGGAGGATTCTCCCAGGATGGGAGAAGCATGCTGAAAGTAGACTATAGACTGAACATGATTGCCCCTCAATGCCTCTTTTGCAAACCACAGCACCCAAAAGGAGAGAGAGAACAAAAGGGAATGCCCTGCCACAGAAGCTGGGTGGGGTGGGGGGGATGGGGTGTGGGGGTGGGAGGGATACTGGGACCTGTGGTGGTGGAGAATGGGCACTGGTGGAGGGATGGGTACTTGATCATTGTATAACTGAAACCCAAGCCCAAAAATTTGTAAGTCTACAACTGTACCTCATGGTGTTTCTCTAATAAAAATTAAAAAAAAAAAAAAGAAAAAGAAGTCCCATGGAGATGATGGGACATGGAGAGTTGTTTGAGGAGCGGGCAGGGTTGGGGAGTGTTCGCTGTGCTCGGAAAACCCGAACAGTGCGGTGGGGCAGCGCTGGGGAAGGGGCATGTTCCAGAGCACAGCCGGGAGCACTCTGAGCCGAGATCCGCCAGCGCTGACCAGCTGCCCTTCTCCTCCCTGTCCAGGCGTACTCCGTCCACGATGAGGACATCGGCTACTGCCAAGGACAGTCCTTCCTCGCTGCCGTGCTGCTGCTGCACGTGAGTCATGTTTCGTGGGCTAAGTGGACCTGATTTTCCTTTTTGATTTAACTGATGGAGATTACCTGTGGCATATCTTCTTTGTTTTTCTTTTCTTTTGTTTTTAGAAAAAATTGAATCACCGTGAGATAGACCCTTACGAAGCTTGTTCATGGTTGGTTTTCAGTCCTGCAGTGTTCCAACACCCGTCCCTCCACCAGGGTACATTTCCCAGCACCAGGGTCCCCAGGTTCCCTCCCATCACCCCCACCCCAGCCTGCCTCTATGGCAGGAGCTTCTCTCTCTCTCTCTCTCTCTCTCTCTCTCTCTCTCCCCCCCCCCCCGTCTCTCTCTCTCTCTCCCCCACTCCCATTATGGTTTGCAACACAGATACTGAAAGGTTGTCGTTTACCTACTTTGAACACTCAGCTCTTGTCCAGCGTGATCATTTCCAATTATTATTGTTATACTGATCCCTTCTCTATCTTACCCACCCGCAACACATGGCATCATCTTTTTTTTAAAACGTACCTTTGACGATCAAGTAAGAGGCCTGATTTCAGAAGCAGGACAGAGTCTCAATAGGATTCATTTTGCTGGCTACAAGAGAATTTGGACTTTAGATAACGAGACGCTTCCAGAATGAAAGGAGCTGGTCTTGCTGCTCAGACAGAAGCAGGTCACGTAAAGGAATGGGGCAAGAAAAATCTCCTTTTTGTGACTTTTTTGGTATACTCTGGGCTGGAGCGATAGCACAGTGGGTAGGGCGTTTGTCTTGCACGCGGCCAACCTGGTTCGATTCCTCTTCCTCTACCCCTTTTGAAGAGCCCTGCAAGCTACCGAGAGTATCTCACCCGCACAGCAAAGCCTGACAAGTTCCCCATGACATATTCCATATGCCAAACACAGTAACAAGAAGTCTCACGATGGAGATGTTACTGGACCCGCTCGAGCTAATCGATGAACAACGGGAGGACAGTGCTGCAGTGCTTGGTATACTCTCTCTCCTTAATATAACAATATTTACAGAGTGTCAGTTGTCAGTTATTGGTGTACAAAATTGAATTGCAGATTGAAGTAAAGTATTATTTGTGGGGAATTTTTTTGGGGGGAGGTCAAGCCTGGAGATGCTCAGGGGTTTCTCCTGGCTCAGCACTCAGGGATCTCTCCTAGCGGCGCTCGGGGGACCCTATGGGATGCTGGGACTCGAACCCAGGTCAGCCGTGTGCAAGGCAGACGCCCTCCCCACTGTGCTATCACTCTGGACTCTATTTTTTTTTTTGTATTCTTAAAAGGCCTCATGGCACAGATAGAGTATACACAATGTAGGCACTTGCTTATTATCGTTTTTCATCTTTGAGGGGCCACACCCGGCAGTGTTTGGGGTGGGAGTGGGGCTTGGGAGATGCAGTGACGGGGATTGAGCGCATGGCCTCACATGTGCTCGGCCTGTGCCCTTACCCTCGTGCCAGCTCTCCAGCTTTTCTTTGTTACACGCCTAAAATGATCTTTGTCATTTTGACTAAATGACATACATGCCACATGAAAGCAATCAAGAACAGAGCGGAGCACTAGCCAAACCCAGCTCTGTCAGAAGATTCAGAAAAGACTTTCCGAAGGAGGCGGGAACTTTGCCAAGACACAAATAGTTGCGGCCGGGGGAGGAAGAGGGAACGGGAAGAAGTGGAGATTCCTGCACACACACAGGGACCAACATGTGCGAGTGTGTGGAAACACAGGAGCTACAGCCTGGAAAGGGAACAGTGTGAAATCAGGCCCCTCGGAGTCATAGGCAGGGGCAATCCTGGGAATATATCCCAAAGAGGCAAAAAAGTATAGTCGAAGTGACATCTGCACTTGTTTGTTCATTGCAGCACTGTTTACAATAGCCAGAATCTGGAAAAAACCTGAGTGCCCAGATGACTGGTTAAAGAAACTTTGATACATTTACACAATGGAGTACTATGTAGCTGTTAAAAAAGATGAAGTCATGAAATTTACATATAAGGGGTACTACATGGAAAGTATCATGCTAAGCGAAATGAGTCAGAAAGAGCGGGATAGACACAGAAAGATTGCATTCATCTGGGGAACATAAAGTAACAAGATAGGAGACCAACACCCAAAAGTGGCCGAGATTAGTACCAGGAATTTTGCTCCATGGCTTGGAGGCCAGCCACACATGCTAGGGGAAAAGGGAGCTCAGATAGAGAAGGGAGCACCAAATAAAGGGTGTTGGGAGGATCCTCCCAGGATGGGAGAAGCATGCTGAAAGTAGACTCTAGACCGAACATGATTGCCACTCAATGTTTCTTCTGCAAGCCACAGCACCCAAAAGGAGAGAGAGAACAAAAGGGAATGCCCTGCCACAGAGGCAGGGTTGGGTGGGGGGGAATGGGGGGTGGGAGGGATACTGGGATCCGTGGTGTGGAAAATGGGCACTGGTGAAGGGATGGGTACTCGATCATTGTATAACTGGAACCCAAGCACAAAAAATTGTAAGTCTACAACTGTACCTCATGGTGTTTCACTAATATAATAATAATAAAAACGTAAAAATGGCCAGAAAGGCAGGGACCAAATTATGAAGACTTGTAGTCATGCCAAGAAATACGACTGATGAGGCAAGGGGTTGACGGTCAGAAGTGATTGTAGCCACACAGGAAGAATGGAAGGCCCCTCGAGTAGCCGAGCATTGAGTAGGAAAGTCAGTGAGGGGAACACTCAAGAGATGAAGCAATAGGTAGAAAAATGTATTCTGGAAAGTAAGTCGCAGAAAAGGGCTGGCATGCCGGATGGTAACTTACGTTTTTTAGTTTAAGATATTTGGGGGACAGCAAGTCCTTGGCTACCTGGGGCCAAAACGAAGACAAAGCTGAGAGTGCAAGAATAAATCATGTGGGACTGGAGCGATAGCACAGCAGGGAGGGCGTTTGCCTTGCACGCGGCCGACACGGGTTTGACCCCCAGCATCCCATAGGGACCCCCAGCACCGCCAGACGTAATTACTGAGAGTAGAGCCAGGAGTAAGCCCTCAGCATCGCTGGGTGTGACCCAAACTGTCAAACAAACTGTCCTCCTGTTCGTTGTTCATCGATTTGCTCGAGCGGGCCCAGTAACGTCTCCATTGTGAGACTTCGTGTTACTGTGTTTGGCATATTGAATACTCTCGGTAGCTTGCCAGGCTCTCCGAGGTAGCTTGGATGGGTGTGACCACTGTCACTGTCATCCATTGTTCATTGATTTGCTTGAGCGGGCCCAGTAACATCTCCATTGTGAGACTTTGTTGTTATTGTTTTTGGCATATTGAATACAATACATATTAAATACATATACAATACATATTAAATACATATTAAATACATATTAAATACATATACAATACATATTAAATGTGACATAGTGGTCTGGCAAATCAAAAACAACCATTTCTCTTACTTGCTCATTTTTTAAAATTTATTTTTCATTTTTTATAATTTTATTTATTGAATCACCATGAGAGCAGTTACAAAGTTTTCGGGTCTAATCTCGGTCATACAATGAAACACCCGTACCTTCACCAGTGCCCACTCTCCACCACCAAAAACCTCAGTATACCCCCATCCCACACCTTCCCCCTACCTGTGGGGCAGATGATTTCCACATTACTCTCTACTTTGAACACATTCAATATTTTGACACCAGAACCATACCACAACACTAGGATCTGCTGAAAAAGCAACAGTAGACAATTTGTGTTCTATTGCTGGTTATGAATAACATATGATGTTGCGTGGCTGCAGTAGGGCCATGTGATTTTGAAATTCTGAAATTTTAACACTTAAATCTGGAGGGATTTCTGCCAAAAGCCACTGGGTTTCAAGATTTGCTCCTGAGTCTCTGGGATCATGGCCGTTGAGCAGCTTGATCAGGAGTCAGAGAGGCCGTTCGTAGGCGATGACTTGGGGTCTTGTTGGGGTGGGGAGGACAGGCCTGGCTCCACCCCCATCCCATGAGGCCCAACAAGTTTCGTCGCTGCAGGCCCAAGCCTGACTGTCCAATGGCCTCTGGAGGATGACGGCCACTGAGTCGCCAGGGAGAAGCAGGCGGAGGGACAGCACCCTTTCCCCCCGGGGTGGCCTGGCGACAGCAACATACTGTGGGGTCCAGACACATTTCTGCGGAAAGCCGCTGGGTTTCAAGATTTATTTCTGAGTCTCTGGGATCATGGCCGTTAAGCAGCTTGATCAGGGGCCAGAGAGGCTGTTCGTGGGCGATGACTTAGGGTCTCATTAGGATAGGGAAGGCCCGGCTCCCCCCCCCCCCCATCCCGTAAGGCCCAAAATGTCTCGTCACTGCTGGCCCTGTCCAATGGCCTCAGGAGGATGACGGCCACTGAGCCGCCAGGGAGAAACAGGCGGAGGGACAACACCCTTTCCCCACTGGGGTGGCCCGGCGACAGTAACCTACTGCGGGGTCCTGCCGCATTTCTGCCAAAAGCTGTTGGGTTTCGAGATTCGTTTCTGAGTCTCTGGGATCAAGGCCGTTGAGCAGCTTGGTAAGGAGCCAGAGAGGCCCTTCGTGGGCGATGACTTGGGGTCTCGTTGGGGTGGGGAGGACAGGCCCGGCTCCACCCCCATCCCATGAGGCCCAACAAGTTTTGTCCCTGCAGGCCCAAGCCTGACTGTCCAATGTCCTCTGGAGGATGACGGCCACTGAGCCGCCAAGGGGGAGCAGGTGGAGTGAAAACACCCTTTCCCCCTGGGGTGGCCCGGCGACAGTAACGTACTGTGGGGTCCAGATGCATTTCTACCAAAGGCCACTGGGTTTCAAGATTTGTTTCTGAGTCTCTGGGATCATGGCCGTTAAACAGCTTGATCAGGAGCCAGAGAGGCCGTTTGTGGGCGATGACTTGGGGTCTCATTGGGTGGGGAGGACAGGACCAGCTCCACCCCCATCCTGTGAGGCCCTGCGTGTCTCATCACTGGGGGCCCAAACCTGACTGTCCAGTGGACTCTGAAGGATGGTGGTCACTGGGCTGCCAGGGGGAACAGACCAAAGCACAAAACCTATTCCCACCTGGGTTGGCCCAGCACCGGTAACCTACTGCAGGGATTGGACGCATTTCTACCTAAAACCGCTGGTTTCCAAGATTCGTTTCTGAGTCTCTGGGATCATGGCCATTAAGCAGTTCAATCAGGAACCAGAGAGGCCTTGCCTCCAATTATATAGCTGAGCCGGAGGTGGTTTGTGGGTGTGTTTCCCACATACCTAACTTTTGGCCATTTACTTTTTTGGTAAACTTTGCCCCATGTTTTTGGGGTCTGGCCAAAGGCACAGCATCAATTTTGGGGTATCTGGAAGTCTGAAGGCGCCATGAGGCTGCTGATGCACTCGCCTCACAGGTACAGATAGACCTGCTGGCAGCACCATACCCCCGACTTGCTCATTTTTGGGCCACACCCAGCTGTGCTCAGGGCTTACTCCCGAACCTGCACTGAGCATCATTCCTGATGCCGAGGACTGAACCTGAGCTGGCCACGTACAAGGCAAGCTCAGTATCTGTGGCACTATCTCTCCAGCCCCCCTCCCCCCCCCACCCCCCCACACACATGCAAGGATTTCTTCAAGGTTGCGTTCTGGGAATCGAGAGCAGTTAAAGTAGATGCATGGTCCTGCTAAAGTAGATGCAGTTAGAGTAGATGCAAGTTAAAGTAGATTCTGGTATCTCGGTGTGAATGCTGCTTGTGTCGTACAGAATTACTGCCCCTCCACCATTGTCCTGATGTCATTTCCAGTCTTCACCTCTTCTTGCCCCCATCCCTCGTCTCCACTCCCCTCTGTAACCTCAGTTCTGTATTCAAAGTTCAAGGAGTTGTTCTCCTTAGGTGCTGTACATTCCTATTTATTAAGACGTCACGGTGATATTTATTGCTTTATTTTATTTTATTGGCTTTTTGCATCACACCTGTTGATACTCAGGGGTAGGTCACGCCTGTTGATACTCAGGGGTTGGTTACTCCTGGATCTGCACTCAGGAATTACTCCTGGTGGTGATCGGGGACCAAATAGGATGTTGGAGATCGAACCCAGGTCGGCCACATGCAAGGGAAGCTCCCTACCCATTGTACTATCGTTCCGGCCCCAGGGTAATATTTAAAGAGAAATACAAGAGATCCTTTATTAGCAAAATAGCCAAAGTGTTCAAATCAAAGGCACCTGTGAAAATTTGCACACACTATCTATTAATATAATTACACAGCTGTTTCCATGGCTTGTACAAAATAATGAAATGAAGGAATGCCTTTAAAATACTTGAGGAAAGATTAATGCAATTAGTGTACTGTTAGTGAAAAACACAGTGTATTATAAATTTTAATTGCTCATGTGTGATAATTCTGTTAGAATATTTCATTAACCCATTCACCGACCAATTTAAATAGAATTTATAGTTTTCCCATTTTTTACTTATATGAGTTGACAGAAGAATACAGTATAACTGAATTCATTATAGTGGTTTATCAGGTTCTAGAGATACATAATTAGGGTCTTACTGACTAATTTTTTATCAGTTATATAAGCTGTTGCTTCTACTTTGCTGCCAGACACTTTTTTGGCAGCTCCATATTAATCATTGTTGGAATTTGATTCTTTGGGGAATTCTATCTTTTCCTCTCTCATGGTCATTTATATGAGACCTGCCTAACAAGAAAAATAGACCAAAAATAAAATTATTTCAAAAGCAAAAATCTTGAACTTTAAGGTTTTTCCCATGTCCTAAATAGTTTTTAAGAAGAAATTATCTTCTCTTGGTGCTTGAAAATTTCTAGATGCTTTGACAATAATGTTGTTTTATGTAGCATTATTTATTATAGTAGGTCCTGCAATATCTACTGACGTAGTTGATAGTTGGAGAAGAATTTTATGTCACACATTGCTTATAACATTAAAGTGTTCAGCTGCCTTTGAAGTTAAATATGCAGTAGTAATCACTAAGACACAGTAATTGTATTTAATTGGAAGTATGTACTTTATTTACTATAACATATGCAATGTTTTAGATAACATATATAGTGGGGTCACACAGCTGTGTTCAAGGTTTTACTCCTGGTCCTGTGCTCAGGGATCACTCATGGCTTGGGGGACCATCTGGGGTGCTGAGGATCGATCCCAGGTCAGCTGCATGCAAAGCTAGCGACTTACCAGCTATCCTGTCTTTCCAGTGCTAGTACTTTTAATATTTTTCTAGCATATTGTCAAGTAGATTTATTGGACACCTACACACGTTCTACCTTTTAAAAGTATGTGTGAATACTGATTTGAAAGTATTTTATGTGTGAATTATGTGTGAATACTGATAAAATTATGTGTGAGTACTGATTTGAAGCATGAAAGCTTTGCAGTTTTTTCTAAATAAAAATTTTAATTTTATTATTTTTGACAAAGAAGATGATTAAAATTATCATCTTGTTAAAAATAATTTAAATTTCTTGGGGCTGGAGTGATAGCACAGCCAGTAGGGCGTTTGCCTTGCATGCGGCTGACCTGGGTTCGATTCCCAGCATCCCATATGGTCCCCTGAGCACCACCAGGAGTAACTCCTGAGTGCAGAGCCAGGAGTAACCCTTGTGCATCGCCGGGTGTGACCCAAAAAGCAAAAAAAAAAATTTCTTTTTTATTTTAAAGGGGTTGGGGCTGCCTTGGGAAGCTGTCTTGTCTGTGCCAATGCCAAATGCCATGAAGACAAGGCCTCAGACTGGCCCAGGAGCGATAGCACAGCGGTAGGGCATTTGCCTTACACGCAGCCAACATGGCCGACCCGAGTTCGATTCCTCCGCCCCTCTCCGAGAGTCCGGCAAGCTACCGAGAGTATCTCGCCCGCACGGCAGAGCCTGGCAAGCTCCCTGAGACGTATTCGATATGCCAAACACAGTAACAACAAAGTCTCCAATGGAGACGTTACTGGGCCCGCTCGAGGAAATCGATGATCAACGGGAGAGCCTTTACTTTACTTTACTTAATGCTGATGGGAAACCGGAAAAAAAGGGAATAGTTTTTCTGCAGGAGGAGGGGTTTAGTTCCAGAAAAACTCTGGGAGGACAGTGTTTCTCTGTAGGATTTAAAGTGCATGTCTGCTTTGACCCAACAAGTTTTCTGTCAGGAAAATTACTAAAACCTAAAATCCACCCCCAAAATTGCTCTCTTTTGGTAGGAAAGCAACAATTTTTAAAGTGTGATTCTTTTGTTTGCATAAGGGGACACTTGGCAGGTACACGAGACATTGAGTAGTTCTGAGATCTTGCGAAAGAAGTGTGACACCAGTGAGTAGGGTTATACATGCAGAGAGAGAAGGAGTGAGATTTTTGTCTCTCCATACTTCAGTTTGAGTTTTAGAGCAGTTACCGTATTACCTTTCTAAAAAATGACTTAATAATGGACAGAATTAAATGCACAGAAGTGGAAAAGTTCTTAAAAGTGGCGAATGGAAGCTCTGGACCCAGATTTTACCTGTGCCACTGCGGAAGTTTAGCCCCTCGGTACATCACTCTCAAGAGGCTGCAGTTTTTCACGCATAGGACTAAATGATAACATAAAGCAACTTTTCTCATAGTCCGCCCAAACGCCACCCAGACGTGTTCACTGTGTGTCTGTGTCTTCTTGTAGATGCCAGAGGAACAAGCATTCTGTGTTTTAGTGAAAATCATGTATGACTATGGTTTAAGAGAGCTCTACAAAAACAACTTTGAAGATCTTCACTGCAAGTTTTATCAGTTGGAGAGACTAATGCAGGTAAATAAAAGCAATCTTTTATCACTTAGGGATGTGTTGAGTTTTGGACGAGTTTAGTGAAATTGATATAGACAATAATGATTTGCCCGTGTGTAATAGAATTCTGTGGTTTTATTTCGGACCAGTCTACACTGATTTAATACTATAAAATATTTAACTATGTGGGCATTTAAGAATCTCCCCCCTTTTTGGAGGAGGTTCTAAGGCTACGTTTGGTGGTATTTGGCCATGTGGTACAAAGAATCAAGATCGGAGCCTTGCAAAAGTAAGCATGCAGTCGACTCATTTGTAGTATCCCTCCAACTCTATAAAGTCTTCAGTTTTTAAGTAATAAACTTTGAAATTTTTTGAATTGCTGAGTATTGTTTGTAGCACAGCGGTAGGGTGTTTGCCTTGCACGCAGCCAGCCCGGCAGAAGCCAGGTTCGATTCCTCCTTCCCTCTCGGAGAGCCCAGCAAGCTACTGAGAGTATCTCGCCTGCACGGCAAAGCCTGGCAAGCTCCCCGTGACATATTCGAGATGCCAAACACAGTAACAACAAGTCTCAAAAAATGGAGACGTTACTGGGCCCACTCGAGAAAATCAATGAACAACGGGAGGACAGTGACAGTGAGTATTGTTTGTTAAGATATTTTCAGAATAAATAGAAATACTGAAGAAATTTATATTAATTAGTGCTAGTGAATGGCTGGAGTGATAGCACAGTGGTAGGGTGTTTGCCTTGTGCACAGCCTGCCTGGCCAAGTCGGGTTCAATTCTTCCGTCCCTCTCGGAGAGCCCAACAAGGTACCGAGAGTATCTCGCCCGCGCAGCAAAGCCTGGCAAGCTACCTGTTTGTATTCAGTATGCCAAACACAGTAACAATTGCCATAATGGAGACATTACTAGGCCCGCTCGAGCAAATCGATGAACAACGGGAGGACAGTGCTACAGTGCTAGTAACATTCGAGTCTATATAGAGAGATAACTTTGAAGGTTAAGAGAATTTTAATAAGAATTTAAAACACCTAAAATATTGTAACATAGGGGCATAATAAAAACTTTCACTCTCTTAATACTGTTGTAACCATTTTACTTCAATAATAAAATAAAATTTAAACAACTCCCAAAACTTTCACAAAACAATCTCCTTATCTCAAACAATATTGTTACATACTGTTCTGTAGTTCATGTGAGTAAATGTGTGAGAAACTTATTCTTATATATTATATGTCAACTCTTACCTAGTAAGTAAAGGTTGTGACTAGGATAAAATTATTGACTAGTGCTAATAAAAAGGAGTCAGCAAGTGTCTGAGATTCTGCCTGAGAGGCTAAACTTTAAACAACTACAGATTTTTTTGCAGCATATTTTTACGTAACTGGCTGTGATCAATTAATTGTAAACTCAATTAATTAATTGTAATTTTCAATTAATTGAAAATTAATTGTAAAAAAATAAATTGTAAAATTGGGGCTGGAGCGATAGCACAGCGGGTAGGGCGTTCGCCTTACAAGCGGCCAACATGGCCGACCCGAGTTCGATTCCTCCGCCCCTCTCGGAGAGCCCGGCAAGCTGCCGAGAGTATTCGATATGCCAGACACAGTAACAACAAAGTCTCCAATGGAGACGTTACTGGGCCCGCTCGAGCAAATCGACGATCAACGGGAGGGCCTTTACCTTTACCTTTATTTTTATGACTCTTGATAATAAGGGATTGAGAACCCAGGAGAAATGTGAAGGATAGGCCTGCAGCAATAGCACAGCGGGTTAAGCATTTGCCTTGCATACGGCCAACCTGGGTTCGATTCCTAGCATCCCATATGATCCCCCCAAGCACTGCCAGTAGTAATTTCTGAATGCAGAGCCAGGAGTAACTCTTGTGCATCACCGGGTGTGAATCGAAAAGAAAAAAAAAAGAAATGTGAAGGATATACATGAAAGGGTTGACTCCATACTGTGGGGAGAATAGTGAAGAAAGTGATAGTACCACGGATTGGGCATTTGCCTTGCACTCAGCCGACCTGGGTTCGATCCCCCGCATTCCCTGAGTACTGTGATTCCTGAGTCTATATAGAGAGATAACTCTGAAGGTGTGTGTGAGTCTCTAGTGTATGGGAGTAAATGTGTGAGTAAACACTAGAGCCAGGAAGAACCCCTGAGCACTGCTGGGTGTGACCCAAAAGGAAAAAAAAAAGAAAGAAAGCTGGTGTGGGCAGCAGGAGTAGAAAGTAGCGGTTGGAGTTCACTGACTTGACCTGTCAGGAGATCTAGGTTTTGAAGGCGGGAACAAGACCCTCGGGTGACTTGGGAGACTGCCATAAGGGAATAGACCATTTTCTGAGAGGTTAAGGGAAGCTTTAGGCTGTATAAATTCACAATCATAAGTTTATCTGTCTTCAAGATCAACCTTTTATTCTGAGGTTCTTTTATTAAAGTCCATGTTGTCAAGTATAATCTCCTATCATTTCAAGGACTTTGTTTCACAGTTATCTTTCTTTTATCCTGCAATAGCAATCTTTTTTTTGTTTTCTCAAACTGTTCCATCAGTATGCAAATATATGGTTGTGTTTTTATTTTTTTTTTTCTTTTTGGGTTACACCCGGCGATGCACAGGGTTACTCCTGGCTCATGCGCTCAGGAATTACTCCTGGCAGTACTCGGGGGACCCTATGGGATGCTGGGAATCGAACCCGGGTCGGCTGCGTGCAAGGCAAACACCCTACCCGCTGTGCTATCGCTCCAGACTCTATGGTTGTGTTTTTAAAATTGAAAGGAAAAAATAAATAAATAAATAAAATCGAAAGGAAGCATAGCAAAATTTTTAAAAAATTCAAAGGACAGCTTTAGCAGGAGGAAGGAATATAAGAAGTTAGAAGACCGCAGACATGAAGAAGAAATAAAGGGGTGAGCAATCTCTCATGAATTCTAATCACAGTGACAAAAGGACACGGGAGGGGGAAGGGTTGTGTGAAGGCCTGCCAACTATGCACATTAAAAGCAGTTGCTTGAAAGTAGCTTTGAAAATCAAATAAATAAACTTGGATGAATGGCCCATTTAGGTACCGTGTCTTTATAGAAACCCAGCCACCTTTTTCTGTTAGTATTTTCTGTGGTTAACTGACCACTTGGACATCCCGTTTTGTAACATGGGACGGTCACATCTGGATGTTTTTCAAAGAGCAGCTGTGCGAGAAATGTTGTGGGTTTTGTTGTTGTTGTTAGGGAGAAGGTTATAAAAACAAAGCTAATGTATAATACATAATGTATAATACATAATGCTTATGTATTTTTGTCTTTGAATTATGGGAATAACTATACTACTGCTTTGTACTTTGCCTCATGCTTTTGAAAAACAATTTCTTATGTAACTGGGAGGGTGGGAGAAAATAAAGCTAGCAAAAAGTGTTTTTTAAAACCATTCAACCGAGCATTCACGGCCACGCGGCCTCTTATTGTCTACTTCTCACTCTCAGAGAACCCAGCAGGCTACCGAGAGTCTCCTGCCCGCATATATGCCTGTAAAAGTGATTGGAGGCTGCCCCCAAAAGCCTCCCTCCCTCTTGGAGAGCCCGGCAAGCTACTGAGAGTATCCCGCCCACATGGCAGAGCCTGGCAAGCTACCCATGGCGTACCCGATATGCCCAAAACAGTAACAATGACAGTCCTCATTCCCCTGACCCTGAAAGAGCCCCCAATATGCCATTGGGCTACACTAGCACGTGACAGGGATGAATGGAGATGTTACTGGTACCCGCTCCAGCAAATCGATGAACAGCGGGGTGATAGTGATAGTGACAGTGATTCAACCTTAGGGGCTGGAGCAATAACACAGTCGGTAGGGCGTTTGCCTTGCACATGGCCGACCAGGGTTCGATTCCCAGCATCCCATAGGGTCTCCCGAGCACCGCCAGGAGTAATTCCTGAGTGCATGAGCCAGGAGTAACCCCTGTGCATCGCTGGGTGGGACCCAAGAAGCAAACAAACAAAAACAAAAACCATTTAACCTTCTATGTCAAATGCTTTCAGAATTTCTGTTCTTTGACCCTTATGTGATATATACATACACAGATAGGAAAGACTTTGAAAGTTTGGTTGTTTGGGGTTTTCTGAGTGCCACAGACTGTACTCAGGTGAGGCCGGTACTGAGTGGTCTTTCTCTGGCTGGTTAGTTGCCGTGGTGGCTGTTGTGACGAGCTGGAGGCAGTAGAGTCCCGAGGCTTCAGGTGTCCTGTTGAAGCAAGGCTTCCCCAAACGGTCCCAACAGGCCAGCTAACAGAGACTATCTCTGCTTTTTGTTCAGAACAGGCTTTTCAACTCCTTGACTTCCGGTCACCCCCGCATCCTCATCTCCTGTCAGATGGTGCTGGGAATGCTGGCGGAAGCTGCAAGTGATCACAGGAAGTTGGTCCTGAGTGACCGCCGTGGCCAGAATTAAAGCTGCGGGAGTGTTTGTCTGCTCTGACGTTTGTCCGTCTTCACTCGCAGGAGCAGCTGCCGGACCTGTACGCCCATTTCTTCGAGCTGAACCTGGAAGCTCACATGTACGCCTCCCAGTGGTTCCTCACCCTCTTCACTGCCAAGTTCCCGCTCTGCATGGTCTTCCACATCATCGACCTGCTGCTCTGTGAGGTAGGGCGCCACCCCACTTCCAGCCTTTGACCAAAAGGGGAAGTCACTCTCACCTCCAAGGGTCGGTTTTTGTAGTCTTCTTGTTTCCTAGGACATTAGGCCATGAAGACTGGCTGAAAACAATGGTGAGAAATGAAAATATTAGGGCACGTGCAAGTCCTGCAAAGCAAAAAAGGTCAAAATGAGGGCATTCAAAGAAAGATTGTATTTACAAAAGCTTTTATTTGTGTGTATTAAGAATCTTTAAAGGGGCTGGAGCGATAGCACAGCGGGTAGGGCATTTGCCTTGCACATTCGATTCCCAGCATCCCATAGGGTCCCCCGAGCATCGCCAGGAGTAATTCCTGAATGCAGAGCCAGGAGTAACCCCTGTGCATTTGTGCATTGCCAGGTGTGACCCAAAAAGCTAATAAATAAATAAATAATCTTTAAAGTTAAATAAATTGAGAGTCAGGATTTTTTTTTTGGATTTTTGGGTCACACCTGGAGATGCTCAGGGGGTCTCCTGGCTCTTCACTCAGGAATTACTCCTGGTGGTGTTCTGGGGACCTTATGGGATGCCAGGGATTGTACCTGGGTCGGCTGCTTGCAAGGCCAGGCCTACCTGCTGTGCTATGACTCTGGCCCCAAGAGTCAGGATTTTTTTTATGGTAATGCTGTCAGACTTGAAGAGCAAATCCCCAGGCGGGGGTCGTAGCTCAGGAGAGAGCACACCTGTGGAATGTGTGAGGCCCCATTTTCATCCCCAGCAATACACACAGATCCACAGTCTGTTTCAGTCACCCTATGAATTAGAAATTCAAGTCAGACTTTATTTATTTATTTATTTTCCCACTTTATAGACATTAAAGTTTATTGTGTTTTATAACGAAAAGTCAATTTACAGGAATATTTAATAATTATACACATAATAGATGCAGATAATTCAGCAATAAAAGCTGGAAACTTTGACACTTTCAATAATGGATAGAGTATTAGGCAGAAGTTCAATAAGAAAATAAAAAATTGAGCAACACTGTATAGCAGCTATTCTAACAGATACATATAAAGTACTGCCAAACAATAGCCAAAAAGACTATTGTTTTCTCTCTTTTTTTGAGTTTTTTTTGTTTGTTTGTTTTGGTCCACACCTGGCAGTGCTCAGACTTACACCTGTATTTACACTCAGGGTTCCTACTCCTAAAAGGCTCATAGAATTTAAATGGGCCTTCTCTGTTAGAAATTACAGCATTTTAATGATTATTCTTAATTTCAGTTTTATTATTAAGTTAGTGAGTAAATATATTCTCACTCCTGATAGGCTCAGGGACCATATGGATGCCAGGAATAGAACCTCAGTTGGCTGTGTGCAAGGCAAATGCCTTTCCCACTGTACTATTGCTCTGGCCCCAAGAATATACATTTTTATAAAGTATATAGCAAACCTCCTGATTATACCCTGTTCCATTTTCAAATGACCATAAAAATCTTACTCAATTAGGAGAATAAAAGTAAGTAGTACTATCTTCTCTAAACATGGTAAAATCAAAATTTTAAATTATTACCAGAAATAAAAGGGCAAAAATATGTCCAAAGTGAAACAGCATACTTCAAAATAATTCACAGGTTAAAGGAGAAGTCGTAAAATACTTTGAGTTGCACTGTAGCACTGTCAAGTCAGATTTTTAGTGGGGACTGCCTGGAGAAAAAAGTAAGTTTTTTTGAAGTAAAAAGAAGATAAAATGTGGATGCTGGGTGATACTTAACCTGTGTTAGTTCTCAGCCTGCAATGGCTGTACTCAGTCTGTGTGAGCCCGGCTGGGCTTTGCTCTTCATAGTCTGATTGACATTTGAACAGCCCTGAGGGTAGCTCACGCACACACGCCTGTTAAGCATTTGGACCATACTTTGGTAAAGGAGGATTGAGGGACTTGTCAAGGGCCAGAAATTTCCAAATTCTGACTCCCTAGGGACCAGAGAAGTAGTGCAGGGGATATTAAGCAAAACAAAGCAGAAACCCACAAATTTCAAATATGTCATAAATACCCAAAGAACCTGATTGAAAACATGCAAGGTAATCAGCACTCCTAGTTCACTTATAAATTCGTCACTAACACACCTATTCAACTTAACCAGAAAGAAAAGTGCAGTATTAAGAGCTAAAACCTAATTCAAAATAAAACTAGGGTGTTCACAAAAGAAATCTAGAGTCTGTAGTGAAAACTCTACTCTGCCCAATTGTCCAGATCAGTCATGAGTCCTCAATGTATTATTCTTTGAAAGTAAAAATTTTGTTCCCTTCTAAAATCTTAAGTTAACATAGATTGTTTTGATAAGCATTCCCAGGTCTTAGTCATTGCATACAGAGCTGAGTTTGGTGTTTAATTGTACTCATAAAAATGAGGAAGTGGGGTATGACATTTTAACAGCCTTTTTTTTATATAGGAGGAGCCCACAAATACTTATTAGCACTGTTTCTCATTCTTGGCTGAATAATATTCTTCTGGATGGTTCTCTGTGCTCGAGAAAAGAAATGGTGACAAAACTGTGCTTCTCATTTCAGTGACGCTGGATTTGGTAGAGTGGCACCTCTCTCTAGCTCACTGCAGTGTGACTTCCTAAACTTCCCTCCCCCTGAAAGACGCCACATCTGACTTTGAGCTCTGTCCTTGGATCCTTTCATTTCTTATGAATTCACAATTTCTCCGAAAATGTTTTCTTGCAGGCACTGAATTTCTATTGTCAGTTTCTAAGAAAATCAGCAATGTTTCTGGCAGGAATAAAAGTAAATTTATAAGCTTTCTCATCACTTGTCAAGTGTAGTCATCAATGTTTGAAAGCCCTTAATGCTCATTAAAATGAATAAGTGCGTTCCATGTGTTACTTGCCTTTCCATCAAACCTATATCCTGTAGCTGGTCGAGGAAGATCTTTGGGTTTCAAAACATGGAGTGGGTCGGAATCATGTGTTGCAGGGACCAGAGAAGTAAATGCTAACATCCTGTCACAGAGTAAAGTAACTCTTTGGAATAAACTTTATTGGGAACAAGATTGTAGTTACTTCAGGATCTTCATTCTTTCCACTAACTCATCTTTGTCAGAGGATTATTTTGCAAAGGAAATTTTTAGGTAAACTTCTATTTCCTGCCTGTCTGTGTTTCCTCTTTACCCCTTTCCTTCTTGTAGTTAATATTTATGTCAAAGCTATACTTTCATATGTAATAAGATACTCTAAAAATAACAGAATCATTCCTAGGTGTTTGCTTTGGTATAATCTCCATTTTCAGAAAATAGAAATCCTCATGGCTATGGTTTAATAACAAATGGAAGATTAGAAAATTCCCAACAGAACTAAGTGCTCATTTTTCAAAGTTCAACCTTCAGACCAAAAAAAAAAGTCTAGCTTCTACAGAATCTTCTTCTCAAAAGTCCTATTGTACAGAGAAAAAGAAAGACATTGAGTTTGAGACTTTAATCTTATCCTAATCTAATTGCCTATTTTCCTCAGGTATGTGCTGATAGGATTTCTTCTTCCATGAAGTTAAGAATATGGAGTTAATTTAGTAGCAAAAAACTTTCAGACATTGACAGTGCAAAAGTTCTAGGTATTAGTAGATTTTTAAAGGTGTTTATTAGAGCTGAATTTATGAAACTTGAATTAGTATTTCAGTAAAAAAATGGATGCCAAGAGGGTTTTGAAACTAGTTTGAAAACACATTTTATATTGAGGTGAATGGAACGCTAGTGTTGTTATTAGCCAATAATTTAAATGAATTTAAAAAATTAAAAATAAAACTTTCTATAGTTTATGTCTTATCTCTGTGTGGAAAGATAAGAAAATGACTAAGAGTACTAACAATTATGGCAAAGGAGCAGAGAGGTAGTACAGTGGTAGGGTGTCGCCTCGCTTGTGGCCCACCAGGGTTAGTTCCCCTATGTCACATGTGGTCTTTTGAACACCCCCAGGAGTCAACGTGAGTGCAAAGCCAACAGTAAGCCCTGAGTTCTGCCAGGTGTGGCCCCCAAACAAAACAAAAATAAAAATAATTATGATACAAAGATCATGATAACCCACCAAAAATAAAACAGTTCTTTTTATTTATTTTGGGGTTTTTGTTTGTTTGTTTGTTTTTGGCTTTTGGGTCACACCCGACAGCGATGTTCAGGGGTTTCTCCTGGCTCTGCGCTCAGGAATTATCCCTGTTGGTACTCAGGGGACCCTATGGGATGCCAGGGATCAAACCAGGGCCAACTGCATGCAAGGCAAATGCTCTCCCTGCTGTACTATTGCTTCAGTCCCAACAGCTCATTTTAAAGGATTTTTTTTTATTGAAGTATAACAGGATAAAAGAAAATGACCAAAAATTAGTGTAAAATTTCGCAAAGTGCATCCAGTATTGTAACAGCCACCGCGATGGAAATCAGCAGGAATAAACTTATCTGCAGGCCAGGTCTTTGTCCCTTCCCTGCCCCACCAAAGAATAATCACTCTCCTGTCTTTTCATTTTAATTGTTTCTGAAGTTTGTATGAATTAAATATAAATTATACAATATGAACTTCTTTTCATCTAGCTTTTCCATTCATCATTATGTTTATAAGATTCATTCATGTAGGGACTGGAGCGATAGCACAGCGGGGAGGGCATTTGCCTTGCACGTGGCTGACCCGGGTTTGATTCCCAGCATCCCATATGGTCCCCTGAGCACCACCAGGAGTAACTCCTGAGTGCAGAGCCAGGAGTAACCCCTGTGCATCGCTGGGTGTGACCCAAAAAGAAAAGAAAAAAATGCAGGGGGGTGGGGAATACTATTCCATTCTGTTGGGGCTGGAGTGATAGCACAGCGGGGAGGGAGTTTGTCTTGCACGTGGCTGACCAGGGTTCGGTCCCTGGCTTCCCATAGGGTCCCCCAAGCACTGCCAGAAGTAATTCCTGAGTGCAAAGCCATGAGAAACCCCTGTGCTTTGCCCAGTGGGACCCAAAAAGCAAAAAAAAAAAAAACCATTCTGCTCCACCCAACTCA